GATATGGTGTTGTTGGCAGAAATATTTAAATGTCGATGAGGTCAATCGAGGGTCAGTATCCGACACCAGATCATCGAGTAGATCATGTTAGCTAACGATGCGCCATAGGAAGGCAATTGTGGCAGACATGGTTGCCGGATTCAGCGGTGCAGCCTCGGGTAACTTCAAGTAGGCGTTGACCACGACCAGGTAAGTGACTCCTGTCAGTGCGCCAATGAAATCGGTGGGTACAGGTGATTAAGGCCTATCCGGAATTCACCACGGTACGGGTGGCTGTCGAGTGGAAATTAAGGCAGCCCGTTGACAACGGGAACAGCGCCGAAAGACATTGTCGATTTTGCTGTCAATACACTGCCAGTAGGCAAAACTGCGTGCAACAGACTTCATTCGACTGGTACCAGCATAAGCGGCATGCAACTGCTGTAGCACAACAGGTCGATGTTAAGGAGGAATCACCACATGGTCTGCAAATATGAGGCAGGAATCAAACCCAGACAGCTACGCTCGACGCAGGAAGGGCTGATGAAGATCGCCAGTCAAAGCAGTGATTGGCTGACTAAACTGCACATAGGTGATAGTTTGGCGAAGAACGGGATCCTGTGCGCTAGCGTGTCGAATGTCGGTGGCAGTTACAGGAATGCCTCTATGGCGTCCGAAAGCGGACGGCACACATCGTCCTCACTCGAAATATCAGCAACCACGGTGCATTCTTCAGGTTCCTGAAGATTTCAGATGAGGCGGAAAAGGGCTTCGGCCTAGCCAAAGTCGGTAGTGCGACAGTAGCGGATATCAAAATCGTAAGCGAGATGAATAGCTGTCCATCGTTAAAGTCGGTTGGCTGAATAGACTGGGATGCCCTTTTTCGAACCGAAGATTGACAATAACGCTTTATGGTCAGTCAGCAGCGTAAAATGACCGTATAGCAGCTTGTGAAACTTCTTGACGCCACAATGCTCCTTTCTCGATTTGACCATAGTTCTTTTCAGTAGGAGTTAAAGGTCCTGATGAGTGCATGATCGACTTCTCGGACCCGTCCGGGAAAAGTATACGAAGTGACGGCACCAACGCCATGATTGAAGGCTTCTGCAGCAACCGCGATCGGCAGTGACGAGTCATAGTGCGGGAGCAGCATATCTGAACTCAGCATCGACTTCAGCCGGACAAAGGCCTTTCCACAGTCGTACGACCAGGACCAGGGAGCATCATTCTGCAGCAGACGATTGAGCAGGGCTCGTAAGTCACGCACCGACGGTAGGAACACGCTATGGTAGCTGATCCGGTCAAGGACTGATCGAAGTTGTGATAAGTCCTTGGGTGCAGGCATCCGTTGAATGGCACGAATATTTTCAGGATCTGGATGGCGACCAGTGACGTCAAACATGAATGCGAGGTACTTGATGGACTCGATGAAAAAATGGCACCTCTAGGCCCGCAATCAGAAGCCTTATCCCTGCACATGTTCAAGTATTGCGCACACTCAGTCTTGGAGCTCAGTCGGGTAACGATCCATGATTATGATTTTGTCCAGGTACTCAAACGTGCCAGGTATGCCGGAGAGCATTGCGTTCATTGTCTGCTGGAACAGGACCGGAGGGGTCTTGACACCAAAGGGCAGCCTGGTGTACTGGAATAGACCACGGTGTGTTTATCTTCAGCAATTCGCAGGACTCTCGAGCGTCTTCAATCTGCAAGTAGACATCAGCCAGATCCAACCTGGTCAAGCAAGTGCCACCATCCAGCAGAGTAAAGAGATCATCGGGGACAGGCAACGGATAACAGTTCGGCATCAGAGCGACTTTGAGACCAGTAGAAAAGTCGAAGCAGATATGAATTGAACCATTCGGCTTCTTAAGCACAACAATGGTGGCAGCTCGGCTGGAGTAGGACTTAAGTGTCAGAACTCCAATTTCCACCGGGTGCTTCAGTTCAGCATCGACAAGAGGTAAGACTGCATACGGAACCGGTCTCTTTGGGCGGAAGATTGATGGACTTCCAGGAAAGAGATGAAGCACGGCTTGCATGTGTATGCAATGACCAAGGCCGTCTTGGAACACTGGAGCAAACCGCTGGAGAATGACCTAGGCTTGGTGTGCAGATATAGCAGGAATCTGCACTTGATTGCAAACAAGGCGAAGCGGGAAATCAACCAAGCCAATTTGTTCAATCCAGTCGAGATTAGACCTGGTGATATAGTAAGTAGCAGTGATTTTGGTGTCGCGGAAGAAAGCATAGCATTGCAGTTGCTCCATTAACTGGACAACACCCCTGCAGGCGTTTTTGGCGGACTGAGAAGTTTGCTGCATAGTGAGGGTGCCAAGTGACTGCCAGATTCTCTCAGAGATTATGATAACATCCAAATCTGTGTCCAGTTGTAGGCGAACTGCCTGACCGTCGAAAAGTAGATCAACGAACTTCCGACGGTCTGCTGCGTTAACCTGGAATTCGACCGACATACTCAGAGGATTAGCAAGGGACCGTGGTTTTGACGGCGCCTGGAGTTGGAATTAGCAGAGGCGGGCTTGCTTACACAAGTTGAGGATTGACAGAACCCACCTGGTAACAGTTCTGGCAACGATGCCTCACGCCACAATGCCGACAAGGAGAGGGCGGTGATTTCGTCTTGGGGGCTTGCTTGCTCCGCATAACCACAGGTGGCTTAGCAGCTGCGACTGCATTGACTGAGCCAGCAGTAGAAGTGCCTTGGATCATGGCTGCGTCATGTTTGAGATCTATCAGCGCTTGACCTTCGGTAGCCAGTTCTTGGAGGGTGACTGAGCTGCTCTATTGCACGTGTGACAGAAGACGTGTCCAGATGTTGGTATCAATGGGGGGCTGGAGGCCGCAGATGAAGATACGGCATTCGAACTGGTCTTTTGTGAGAGAACCGAGTTAAAAACGCCCACACTCGCGATTCACAATGCTGACATACGCGATGAAATCGTCGGATTCCCGTTTGCACAGCTGGAGGTACTGGAATCGACTATTGAACAGTGCTGATCGCTCCCCAAAAAGTCTGCGACAAGGTCTTCAACGTGTCCGCGATGGAAATATCTCGTGGATTATTGGGCAGGATAAAATTGGCATAGCGTTCGTGCTCAGCAGGAAACAGTTTGCGAGAGAGGAGTCGTATCTTCCATGTGTCCTCCTGGGCCGCCAGATCGACAGAGTAGTAGTCGTCGTATCGTTTGTACCAGGAATAGAAAGAAACATGGGTCTGCGGGTTGCAAAAGGATTTAGTGATGCTGCTGGCGATGTGATCGACGGATTGTGAACCACCAGCAGAACACAACTGGCCCGTGAATGAGTTGGCTATTTTGACTGAAAGTCTTTCCATCAGTTTTATTTGCTGCTGCAACATTTGCTTCAAGTCCGCATACAGGTCCTTCATCGTAGATGGAAAACTGCGTCTGCGTCTGTTACAATCTGCGCCGTGCACTTGTAATTAGCACGAACTCTGACTTAGCCCACTTGTCGTCCCGAACGCCTACGACGGAGCAAGAGAAGTCAGTTGGCCAGAGGGAAACGGTATTCGCACAGTACAAGTCAAGCAAATCACTCTTACGAAAGGCTGCGGCTTATTTTTCAGTCTGCTCAATGAGCAGGCGTCAGTGACAGGGTAGCAAGTAACTATGACGGAAAATCGATAGCCATGGCGCGCTCTCATGACAGAGGGACAGAGTTGCACTCGGCGGCCTGTCTGTGATATGGGTTATCGTAGAAATTGGTGCACTCCCACCACCTCTTACTTGTACTTTACTTGAGAAGAAGAAGACTCCATCGGTGGGACAATACGTTTATTCGCCTGACCTTTGGACATCCGTCGCGGATTCATCATCAGAGACATGAGTAGGAAAAAGTAGCAAAAAGGGGAATGCATGCATATAAGTTTGCAGTATTTATAGCATACAGTCATTACTGCAAACATACAGCGACAATTAACGGCTTTCGAATTTGAGCCACCCATTTTTTTGCTCTCCATTCACGTGGGAATTTATTTTCCTATACCATCCTGTCTTTTTTCGCTCTCCATTCACGTGGGAATTTATTATCCTATACCATCCTCTCTAATCCTCTGCTTTGTTGTCTGCATTCGTGATCATGAGGTCATATCTACGTATACTGCTACCTTTTTAAATGCACGAAAAAATTTACTTTATCTACAACATATCACCATCCCAATATCTGTCAAATGCGGCCAGTCTGTCGCACATGCAATTCACCAACAACACCAACATCGACAATT